TATTATTTTTAAAGTTGGAACCATATGGAAAACTTTTTTATTATTGGTTTTGTAAAAAACATATTCTTGATACTTTCTTCATCTCTATACAAAAAGGAAAGTAAAAATGAGCAGTTGCAGTATTTTCTTAAGCAACCCATTAGCAGTATATTTATAAACATATTTTATTTATTAAAAAAAAACTTTCATTCGTTAAATAGATGGGTAAAGGTCGACCTTACTTTGGATCATGTACTAAAATAAATATCAACAAAATTACGGTTGCCCCTAAAGAATTTTTGAAAATTATTAGAATTCACAAGTCGTAAGATAACTTTGCGCCCGTAGACCAATACTTGCAACATATAAAATTCAGTAGATGAAAGATGCTATAATTTGCCATAAGCAAACTGCGGGGTTCTTTTTCTGCACTAAATAGGGCATATACGATTTCGAGACGTCCATTAAAAAAAATTGTATTTTATGAACTGTATCACAGTTAACAAAAATTAATTAAAAAAAGATTAAGTTGAAAGTAATTAATAAACAAATTAAATTCGATTTAGTGCCATTTCAGAAACAAAACGTAGCAGTACATATTTGATTATATTATGGAATGATCTTTAAAAATTCACCCTTTTTTGTCCACTATTTTCTAGGTTTTTTGTGGATCACACTTTATTTGACCAAAGTACAATTAAAAAAAAAACATGTATATATATATATATATATATATATATATATATATATATATATATATATATATATATATATATATATATATAATATAATATAATATAATATAATATAATATAATATAATATAATATAATATAATATAATATAATATAATATAATATAATATAATATAATATAATATAATATAATATAATATAATATAATATAATATAATATAATATAATATAATATAATATAATATAATATAATATAATATAATATAATATAATATAATATAATATAATATAATATAATATAATATAATATAATATAATATAATATAATATAATATAATATAATATAATATAATATAATATAATATAATATAATATAATATAATATAATATAATATAATATAATATAATATAATATAATATAATATAATATAATATAATATAATATAATATAATATAATATAATATAATATAATATAATATAATATAATATAATATAATATAATATAATATAATATAATATAATATAATATAATATAATATAATATAATATAATATAATATAATATAATATAATATAATATAATATAATATAATATAATATAATATAATATAATAACAAATTATTTTATGCCTTCCTCAGAATGCCTTTGGCATTTTGAAGAAGGTAATTAACAAAATCTTGTTCCGGTCATTTTGAAGAACTACCTCAAAATAACCGTTTAATACTTATTCATACCTTTACCGAGCATTTTGAGGAACTTCCTTGAAATACCCGATTAACACTTATTTATATTCCTCAAACTACCCGATATATACATGAACATATATACGGCATTTTGACGACTTCCTCAAAATGACCAAGGATTCCTCAAAGTGACCGCAAGGTACCAAAAAAGTTCCTCGAAACAACCGCTACGCATATATATATATATATATATATATATATATATATATATATATATATATATCTTTTTAAGCTTACCTAAATATGTACATACAAATAAATCAAATTAATTATTTAAGTAATTAGAAAAAGTGTGTGAACAAAAATATTGATGACAGGATTAATTTTCATTCAAATAAATATTTAAACTTTTTTCGCGGATAGTTTTTTAACCAAAACTTAACATTTTTACCAAAGCTTTTGGAATTTTTTATTTCTTTAATTTTTTCAGGCACAAAGCGATATATGTGAGGCGCTATATATAACAAACTTTTTTGGGTTGCTGATTTGTAAACTTTTATTGTTTTTGTTTTCATTCTTAATTTATGCCGGGTGTTGTGTTCGTGTTGAATATCTAATAGTTCGCGTCTTTTTTTGTGTTGGTAAGTAACTACTTTTTGTAAATAAATTTGTCTAATGTCAAGTAATTTACTCTCTATAAAGAGAGAGGTTGTTGGATAATCATTGTTTCGATTATAGATTATTTTAATAAATTTTTTTTGCATAATTTCAAGATGTTTGATATGGTTATTATAAGCGCCTCCCCAAGCTGTAATTCCGTACTGGATATGTGAGTACACCAATGAATAATACACCATTTCTAAATGAGTATTATCCAATATTTTTCTGATGCATTTAAATTTGTACAAAATAGATCTTAACTTTTTTACTAAGCCTTTTATATGCACATCCCATTTAAGATGTCTGTCTATTTCCACCCCTAAGTATTTTATATGATTTACTTCGTAAATCTTGATATTATTTTCTGACTGTAATGTTATGTTTGTAAATTCAGGGTTTTTAACACGGTTGGAAGTAAAGGGTATATAATTGGTTTTTTCAAAATTAATTGTTAAAGACATATTATCGAACCATCTTTTAACATTTATTATATCTTTTTCAGCCATATGCTTTACTTCTGTCCAACTGGTACCTTGATAAATAATTGCGGTATCATCAGCAAATGATGAAATTTTTCCTAATGATGCCAGTTTAAAAAGATCATTCACATAAATATTAAAAAGGATAGGCCCTAAAACAGTACCCTGTGGTATTCCATATTCTACTATACATGGCTTACTGACAATATCATCGATTTGAACATATTGGATCCTGTTGTGTAGGTACGATTTCATTAGATTTAAAGCTGTTCCTCTAAATCCCAGATCCTCGAGGCGATCAATCAAAATATATTCTTTGCTATTATAAAGTTACTTAACTTACTAAATAATATGGGAAACTATATTTGTTTAATAAATAATATATCAAATTTTTATTTTTAATGTTTTATTCTGAATTAGTTTGGAAAAGAGAACAAATGAACTAAATATAAAAATAAATTAAACGTAATTGTAATTAGCTTCCTCGCATACTAATGAACATATAAAAATATTATTCTAATTTTGACATATAAAGTGACAGTTTTTGTAATCGCAGCAAGTGTCAAAATGATCTACTTTACGCAACCAATTACATAATGTTGAACATTATGAAACTAGTTTCTAAAATTCATTTTATCACCAGTTGCGAAAAGAAAATAAATAAAAATAAACCTAACCTAACCTTTTTTGGTTTTAAAATCAATAATATACATTATTATTGGAAGTTTATTTCAATGAAGGGCCGGTTGACTTTTAAAAATTAAATTTGGTTAAACTTGCAACGTAGTAATAATGTTGTTTAGGTCCTTACTTTCCATTCTAAATCAGCACAAAATAATTAAAACTATACACGACAAACTAACCCACTTTTTTTGAAAACTAAATAATTCTAATATACCATATAAACACTACTAAGTTGTTGAGAATAAATAAATAAATAATATTATGATCTGTCAATAAAATGATGCATAATATATGCAACTAACAATAGTTGTCAAAACACAATACTAAAAATAATTTAGTCAAAATTAGAAAAAATATTATTACGCTGGTTTTTGGTAACCCAATTTATTTCAACTCTACTTTTACAATTCAACTATATAACTAATAACATGTTCGTATAACGTCTATCATAAGAACATCAGGATCATCGACGTATAATAGCTAGCTTGAACCTTCTCGAACCGTCCAGATTTTTCTTGACAGGGAGTGACATTTCTAGACTATTCTCTTCTTTTTTTACTCGTACTTTTACTTATGACGATCGCAGCACACTGTAGGGTGATGGGTGACATTGCACTTCTTTTTTAATTCGTACGTTTCTTATAATAGCCGCAGGCTACTGCAGAGTGCAGAGTAACAATATTATATGTGACACGTTACGAAACACCATTTTATGTAACCCTTTCATGTTGCGGGACCGCGCTCATTTCGTCCCGCAAATATTCACTCGTTACATAAAATAAGTCATTTCGTAACTGGTTTCATAAATAGCTATTACATAACTATTATGAGCAGGCAATTTAATTTAAAAATGTTTTTCCTTTCTACTGTAAAATTGAGTGTTAAATAGATGTGCCCCTTTTCAAATAACCAATTCAATTTTAATGAAATTGAGTCTATTTCTCTAAAATAATAAAAGCTTCTATGGCTGTGACCGTTTTGAAACTTGACAGATGGGGTACTAATATATTTTTTTTCTAAAATTATGATTTAAACAGATGCAGTACAAATAAAAATATTTTTTATTGATATTAAATGTGTCATTTTATTGGCGAAACGGTCACTTTTTCGGCTTAAGCATTTAAAATGATTTTTATAGCCTTTTTTTTAAACGTCATGTTTGGATCTGACGAAAAAATGCAATTATTTTCAGACTTTGATATTTTTCGCAACCTAAACTTTAACTACCGACTGACAATATGAACTAGTTTAAACACAATACTTTTTATACGAGCTCTAACCACTATATGTTCGGCCTTTTCATAATTTTATTTCAGATATTTATTAGAATACTTATGTTTATGTTTATACTTGTTTATGGTCAAATCTCCAATTTTTTTTTGGAGTTGCTTTACCGCGACCCATTTTCAATAACGAATAAAAAGATACCGTCACACTTTCAACAACTTAAAACGTCAAACCACAAAATAAGTTAGTGTTTATTATTTGCGTCAAACACGTAAAAAATTCTAAACGTCAAAAATGCCAAAGCCTCCCAAACCCGAACATTAAATTTAATAATTGCGGAGGTAAAAAAAATATCATTTCGGCCCGTCAAATGCTCTCACAAATAGTAGAAACATCAACAACTATTAAATTTAATTAATTTTTATAAAATAGATGTTTTTCTTCAACCTTAAGTTTCCTAATATATAACAGAAATAAAATTATAAAAAGGCCGAACATATAGTGGTTAGGGCTCGTATAGGTAGTCGAAAATTTATTGTTAAAAATTAGTTATTAACAGGACTAACCAATAATAATAACTTTTATTCTTTCAGTACATGTTCCATACAACGCAAATTACGCTCATCCTGAAAAATATGGGCTTGCGAATGCCAGGAATTTCTACCTCAGAACTGACGACGACATGACATTAGGAGTATGGCAAATTCTTCCTAATAGTTTAGAAAACGGAGTTGATAATAAGACTGATGATGAACAGTATTATGAGAATGTTCTGGGAGACGGCCAAGATGTTATTATTTATTTGCACGGCAACGCTGGTACGAGATTGTCGGGACACAGAGTTGAATTGTACAAAATTTTAAGAAGGTTCTTTCATGTTATAGCATTTGATTATAGAAGTAAGTACCTTTCTACTTTTTTTTCTACTTAGCTGTTCAGATTTCCATATTAAATGTTGGGTCTGATAAAGGTCGAGGGGGATACTTTTCTATCATAGTCCTAACTGTTATACGTCATTCCCTTCCCCCTCGTCACTCTAACCAATATAATTTAAATTTGGACAGTCTATTTATATTCCTTCACTATTAATTAGTATTTGTATTAGTATTATGAATAAGCCTTAAATTGGACAAAATATTCCAAAAGGGTATTTATACTCGTATTATAATTAATATTAGTGCTTCTTTTTTATTAATCTTTTTCCTAATAAGATATAATTCTGAAGGAAATGTGTAATGCCAGTTGTGCTCTTAGATATTTGATTTAATTAAGGACATTTTAACGGATTTACGTCACAAATTTATAACAGATAAAAAAAAGCAGAAATTTGAGACAAATCAAACAGAAAAGAGGCCTTTGCCTCAACAAGGGTTCGAAAAAAAAGTCATTACTGTGACTACAAATACATCGAAAATAACTTTGCGCCATCCTTCTGGCGAATAAATTACAGGAGCATGCTTTCTTTACCGTTTTTAGATATGGGTATGAAAGAAAATGGGTATGACCGCTCCCGAGAAAATAGTGTGTTACTTGTTTAAACCTTTGTTTTTTAATAAACTGAGGCCAAAAAGCCATCATTTACCAGTTTTTTGCCTGGACAAGGGCGAAAGTTTGTATGGGAGTATCAATTTTTCTAAAAGTAGGAATTTGAAAATTGGAATTGTAGCTACTCATTATAAATAAATAATTGGGTTTCAGGGTTTTTGGATTTTAAGAGTGGGAAACGAGGGTAAAAGTTTGTATGGAAGTATCGGTTTTTAAAGGTATGAATTTGAAAATTGAAATTGTTGATACTCATCATAAATAAATAATGACGTGTTTCGGGGTTTTTGGATTTTCACATTTTAAGAGGGGAAAACGGGGGGTGAAAGTTTGTATATGGGACTGTTGGTTTTTTGAAGGTGGGAACTTAAAAATTGGAATAATGAAGTATTTCAAGGTTTTTGGATTTTTACGTATTAAGGGTGGGAAAGGGGGGTGAAAATTTGTATGGGAGTATTGATTTTTTAAAGGTAGGAACTTGAACATTGGAATTGTAGCTACTCATCATAAATAAATAATTACATGTTTCGGAGTTTTTGGATTTACACATTTTAAGGGGGGAAAAAGGGGGCGCGAAAGTTTGTATATGGAAGTATCGGTTTTTTCAGGTAGCTACTCATCATACATAAATAACGACGTATTTCCAGGTTTTCGGAATTTCACATTTTAAGAGGGGGAAATGGGTAAAAGTTTATATGGAGTATCGATTTTTTTAAAGTTTGGAACTTGAAAATTCAAATTGTAGCTACTCATAAATAAATAATGACGTGTTTAAGGGTTTTTGGATTTTCATATTTTAAGGGTGGGGATGGGGAGTAAAAGTTTTGTATGGCAGTATCGTAAAAATAAATTAAAGTAAATGAAAATAAATAAAAAAAAATAAATAAAAATGAATAAAAATAAATAAATAAATAAATAAATAAATAAAAATAAATAAATAAAAATAAATAAAAATAAATAAATAAAAATAAATAAAAATAAATAAAAATAAATAAAAATAAATAAAAATAAATAAAAATAAATAAAAATAAATAAAAATAAATAAAAATAAATAAAAATAAATAAAAATAAATAAAAATAAATAAAAATAAATAAAAATAAATAAAAATAAATAAAAATAAATAAAAATAAATAAAAATAAATAAAAATAAATAAAAATAAATAAAAATAAATAAAAATAAATAAAAATAAATAAAAATAAATAAAAATAAATAAAAATAAATAAAAATAAATAAAAATAAATAAAAATAAATAAATTAAATAAAAATAAATTAAAAGCAGTGAAAATAAATGAAAATAAATGAAAATAAATTAAAATAAATTAAAATAAAACAAACGAAAATAAACGAAAATAAACGAAAATAAACGAAAATAAACGAAAATAAACGAAAATGTGAGGAGCGAATTGATAAAAACGACATATATCGATGTTTTGAAACCTCGACGGCCTTTTCCCATGGATTAAAAGTAGAACATTTAAGCCCAGAATTAAAAATGTTGCATAGCACCTGAAAATAGTACAAAAATGTCAGTATTTTTTTACGGTTGCAAAAAAATAATAAAATTGGCAGCAGCCTCTCAACATTTTCAAAATATTTTAACTTAAAGATAGTATCTTTCACAAGTAAAAAAGCATATACTACGCTGTTACTAAGTGTCTGTGAAGCTAATTTACACATGCACTCACAAAACGTACCTTTCAGTTCTTAAACTCGCTATACGTATCGCTCGTATCCTGTTTTCTTTTTTTAAATAATATTCACAATTGGATACGCGAAATAATGATGTATCGGCACTTATTGTACTTCCAAATAACTCCAATAAAAAACGTTTTAATATGAAATCTTCCAATTGAATCATAAATGGGGGTTATCTCTTTCTAAAAAAGACTATTCCAGTTTCATGTTGCTGACAAAAATTAGTCAAGATTATTTATCTAGTGTTTATACAATGATCTGTATTATTTTACTGAATAGGATATAGGCTGTTTTTGAGCAAATTATGGTGGGATCACAGAACTGAAATTTGTGATAATTTGACATACCTAACCTATAATTTGATTAGTGTTTCTTCTTATTCTTCTTCTATTCCTTTTGCGGGAGATGTCCTTCGGGACAAATCACCCATAATTTGGTTTTTTATTAAAGAAAATATAAAAATGGAAACGTGAAGCATATTGTGTCTTCAGGAATGAACGTTTATTGTTTATATCATACATAGTAATGCTATCCGATACTACCTACATAAACAGCAGATAAAGGATCAGTTCTAAAGTACCTATAGTGGAAAGAAAAATGTTTAAAACTGCACTAGGGATGTTTTATAACTTATAAGGATACAACTAAAAGGAGCTATTGGTACTAGTCTCGAGCTAGAACTACATAGATGATCGAATCACTTTAGGGAACAAGTATGAAACGAGAATCGGTGAGTTTGCCATTGTTAAAATAGAACCAGGAAGAACAGGGATATTATTATGGTTAAAAGATGTAGAAGATCTAAACAATACCTGTGAAAATGTTTAAAAGTTAATTTTAGATGTTGAAATATATTTTTTATTTTTATTTTTTATTTTTATTTTTACCGATTATTACCACTGTTAGAAATTTTAGTTAACATTTCTAACTCTTCCAGGTTAATACATGGTCTTTTTGTTGTCTCTCTATTTCTTACACTATACAAACCAGATTGAAATTTGTGCAACTCATAAATATATGTATTCAAAAATTGTTCTAGTAAAATACTGTTATGACTTAAATTTTGTGTAGACTATTCGAATGTAATTTACAATTAAATAAAGAACAAATTTAAAGGCTTTACATAATTTTTACAATTATGCAAATATTGATTTATATATTTTTTAAATGAAATCATGGGAAAAGGTGAAAAAATAAACATATTTCTTGTAATATTTTTATTAATATAAAAAAGATATAAAGTACCTAATATTTTTAAATGCATTACCAACAGAGTCTTCGTTTGTGTTTTATCAATGCAGGATAGCTCAAAATGGACTGAACATATTCGCATTACTGCACTTACAATATTAAAATAGGTCATATCCATACTCTTCGGCCACTTCCCCAAATCTCCAATTCTGTAGAAACCTTAACTAACAAGAACATCATTTAATTTAGTAATCATCGTTATAATTCACTTCAGTTTTTATCATTTAATCGAAAAATGTTATTTGTATTCTTGTATGCTTGTGTAAATTAGTAATTGTTTCAGTTTGTTTCGACAAAATAGTTAGATTTATTAACAAATTATTATAAACATAATAGTTTTATTTACCTATGAAGAGTACGGATACTCTTTTCACTCTGTTTTCCACAATAAAAACATATCATCGTAACTTGTTGACACAATTAAATGATAAATGTGACGAAAAATGGAAATATGTTAGGTTATGTTAAATAACATCCAGTCCGCCATATTATTTGCCCAAATCGGCCAATTTTTCTAAACGTTTTTTAGGGGGCTATATCCTACCCAGTAAAATAATACAGATCAGTGTGTTTATATAACCAAAGTATTGTAAAATCAATTTTGCTAGCTATATAAGTATAATGTTGGATCATTATTATTGACTTGTTTGTGCCATACAGTTCATGATTTAGTTATAATTGTATATTTAGGCTATGGAGATTCGACGAATGATTCGCCGTCCGAAACAAAATTGGTGTCCGACTCTATTTTTATATACAATTGGGTTGCTAATAGAACCAAAGGTAACCTCTACGTTTGGGGACATTCTTTAGGGACCAGCTTAGCTTTACATTCTTTGTCCATTTTACAAAAATTGGATATCCAGCCTAAAGGTGTGATATTAGAGGCGCCATTTAATAATATGAGAGAAGAAATTAGTGAGTTTCCACTAGCTCGAGTAAGTTACGAAAATTATTTTTTTAATGGTTATTCATTATAAGTTACCTACTATTTATCATCGTTATTACATATCGATATCCTGATTACCACATTTTTAGGAAATAGCGTTTTTGATATTATTGAGTTAATTATAAAGAATCTCATAATATTCTAACCAGGAGTGTAAACCGAAATATATTTGTTTAAGGCTATTTTTTATTCAGTATAATTTTACTTTTTGCTGAAGTATTCAAAAGAAACACCATAATAATCTCCAGTCTTTTAATTTTTTTGTTACACCCTAGTTTTTTAAATAAAAATTAAAAATGAATATTAAATTTTATCAATTTGCAGATAAAAATTTTTGGAAAATTGGAGTTTGTAGCTGATTTTTTTTCTATTTACAAGTTTTTGCAAAAATCAAAAAATAATTGAGTTTTGTGGTAAACCGTTTTCCAAAAATATTTTTATTTCGAACTCGTATCATATACCTGGAAACAACGGTGTCTTGGATTAGCAAATATAAACTGATACGGCCAGGGTCTAACTCGCTCTTTTGATCGTAAAAATTTAGTATAATATATTTTTTTATTATTTTTTACTTGTTGTATAACTAAGTATGAAAGAAAAGTCGTGCAGTAAGAAGCAAAGGGTTAGACTATTTTTATTTTACATTTTATTAAAGAAAAAAAAAAATAATTTGATTGATATGCGAACATGAGTTTTATTGATTAATTTCCAAATTATATCGGAATTCATGAATATTTTGAGAAATATCTCGAGTCGAAAACATTGAACAATTTTCAAAATATTTCTAAGAACAGATATTAATTTTTAATTTATTGGAAATATAAAAGTAATCTTTATTATTTTGCTAATTTCAAATCCTAATGTACTAACACCCCGCAATGTCTTTTCGACAATATTCAGCTCATAATGAGTTGGTAAGTAAAAGTATTTTTGAAGCAGCTTGGGAGGCATGGAACAAGCAGGACTGGAAAAATTGCAATTAGCAAAAGTTATTGGAGAAGTAGATGAACAAGGAAATGGCCTAATTGCACTGTATGGTCTAAGCGGTCATAGGTATAAAGTTAATTATAACGCTTTATCTGGAGTTGTAAGTTTATATTTTAATATTGTAGCGTGTGATCCAAAAACAATGTTTCTAAAGTAAACATGACCGACAGAATTGTGAATAATCCGTCATGCGTGATTTTTCCATGGTTTAGAAACATTTTTATATTTAACATAACATATAAACGGTTTATTTTTAAATGCACTTATATTTTACAGGCTTACATTATTGGGGCGAAAACTGGAAAAGTTTTGTATGTTTTTTTTTAAAAGTAAGTTTTGTCCTATCTGTGCTCGAGCTTTAACTAAAAACATAAAAGCTGCAACTCATAAATGTTCAAAAAATTGGGATGGTTGGTCGACTTCTATGGAATCGGAACTAATTTTAAAAGGATTCCGTAATAGTATAAAAATGCACAAATTAAAGTATGTAAAAATTATTGGCGATGGAGACAGCAGTGTTTACCAAAAAATTTGCTTAGAGAGACCCTACGAAAAAACAATGGTCCGCAAAGTAGAATGCATAAACCATCTTTTCAGGAATTATTACACAAATTTGCGTGATCTTGCGGAAAAAAATACAGTTCAAAAAAAAAAAAAAAAATAGTAAGTCAAGGACTAAAAAAAGATAAAATAACTAATTTAAATAAAATTTATGACTTTTACTAATTTATAAAATAAAATAAACAAGAAAAAAAAAAAAGAAAACCAATTTGCTATTATTTATAGATTCTACACAAAAATAATTCATTTTAATGTATACGGACAATTAGTTTAACAGAATTGTCACTTATTTAAAATTTCAAAAATAATAGCAGTCGGTTGACCAAAATATGAACTATGATTGGTGGATTTCATTTTTTTGCAGTGTTCTCACTGCCTAGAATGGCTATGAAATATATTCGTTCAGCTGAACACAATAGCATACTTTTTCGTTTAGTAGCCTGTGCGTAGATAAGCTAGTGTCCATGTGGGTGTAGAAAAATGTATTTTTCCTCAGTAACAAAGGGCTATTATTTAAGTTGTACTTGGGTAGACTTATTGGAATATTAGGGACCCCATTGACAGAGATAAAATTTATTAAAATCGATTTAACATTTTATTAAAACAGTTTCATTTGCAAATTTGCATACATTCTTCTCTTTTTCCTATAAAAAATTTTCGTATTTCAAGTTCGCTGCGCTTTCTGAAATCTAATCATTCTGGAAGAATACATTCAAAATAAAGTATTTCCAACTTCAAATAGCTACCATCTCATACATTTAAATTTATAAAGAAACTACTTACGAAAGTTCACTAATTTCAATATTCTGAATATCTGCTAAGATTCTTTTTTTGTGCAATCTGAAAAGTATCTATTTAAAAACAATATTTGTAAACGTCAATGACGATTAAAAATAAATATTTAACATTAATGTCTATTTATGTAACCAGTTACAAAATGCCTTATTTTGTGTAAAGAGTATATATTTGCGGGATGAACGGAGCAAGGTCCCGCAAAATGAACGAGTTACGCAAAACGGCATTTCGTAACGTGTTACATACAATATTTGTTCTAATTTTGACTTGGTTATTTATAAAATTGTGTTTGATTCACCATCGTTTTTTTATAGGTACTTCCAATTAAATATTTCAGAAAATGGTTGTATTTGATTGCCCTACGACGTTTGTAATAATGAAAATAATTGACATCCGCAGTGTTGCCTATCTGATTATTGACAATACCTGCGGTAAATTTGAAAAAAAAATCGTTTTTATCCGTTTACAGCTTCTATTTTTTTTTCTTTTTTGTTGTTAAATGTAATGTCAAATTTTGAAATGTGAAATGTCACTATTGCGTTTTTTCGATTTTTTATTTTTCGATTTTTTATTTTTCGATTTTTTATTTTTCGATTTTTTGTCTTTTTACTTTTTGACTTTGATTTTTTGATTTTCGATTTTCCGATTTGATTTTTCGATTTTCCAATTTATTGATTATTCAATTTTTCGATTTTTTGAATTTTCGATTTTTCGATTTTCCGATTTGTTGATTATTCGATTTTTCTATTTATCGATTTATCGATATTTTTTTTTTAATTTTAGATTTTTCGATTTTTTTTGGTTTAAAAACCAATAAAGAGGCATTTCTATTTATTTTCAATTCGTAACACTTCCATCCTTTTTGTCGCCATATTTTTAATCTTCCTCATGAAAAGATTACGACCCATCACAACAGAGTACTCAAAACTAGAAATCCTAAATGCACTACAATAAAAACACTCAATATTCTTATGTAATCCACACTAAAATCTCTAAAAAACAAAAAAGTCTGAAAATGTTATAAATCTGACACTATTAATTTTTTAAATCGCTCCAACACAACAACGGTACTAACAATATTACAATCCAAACTAAAGACAAAGCCTGCCGTAAAATAAATAAAATACGTAGATACTGTAGGATCGTCCGGCTCATCTTTCTTTCCGGAGTTACGCAACGCAATTCAGACCGGCTGTCGTTACGCAACGCTTTTTCCAGGGGTATATGTTTTTTTAGGGGATTCCTTCTCATTTAAAATTGGTTGATAATTTTAAAAAACTTTGTTTAACAATTATTTAGGTATTTGTACACAGAAAATTGCTTCAATGAGACAAAAAATATTGGAACAAAAAATCATCTTTTAAACCACTGATCTATATTATTTTACTGGATAGGATATAGGCTATATTTAACATACTAAAAATCCGTTTCACCAAGGAGACCGGAAGTGCAACACTGCTGGCCGATTTGGGCAAATTATGGTAGGATCACATAACTGAATTTTGGGATAATTTGACATACCTAACCTATAATTTGATTAGTTTTTCGTCTTATTCTTCTTCTTTTCCTTTTGCGGGCAATGTCCTTCGGGACAATTCACCCATAATTTGATTTTCTTATGAAAGAAAATATAAAAATGGAAACGTGAAGCATATTGTGTCTTCACGACTATAGTAATGCTATTCGATACTACCTAAATAAATAAAAACAACATCTGATCGTAACTTGTTAAAACAATTAAATGATAAATGTGATGACAAATGGAAATAGAGGTTATGTTAAATAACATCCGGTCCGCCATATTATTTGCCCAAATCGGCCAATTTTTCGGAACGTTTTTTAGAGGGCTATATCCTATCCAGTAAAATAATACAGATCAGTGTTTTAAACCCATAAAAAATTGTTTAGAGGTACCTATTTTTGAATCGCTGATGCAGCTGTATGCTCCCTTTTATTGTTTCGTGTTTTTCATTTATTTGTCTCGCGTCGCACACAGGGGCAAAAAGCATCAAAACTTACCAACAATTCTGAACAGCATTAAAGCTTATACTTTTGTATTCTGTCATGTGTTTAAAGTGTAAATATAAGAAACTAATATCAACAGAGATATTATTGACACTATACAGGGTGTCTCATTATATTGTACACCTCTTAAAGTAGATACAGGCTATTCCTTAAAAAGTTGTGAGAAGCTCAAGTAGTAAAACAGCTTAGTAGGAGTAGGTATTGGTAGATATATTAATCACTATCTTTCATAATAAAATTATCCCTTCTGAAATTACATTATTTGTTGAAGACAAATTAAGTTCAAGAGTGGAAACAAAGAAAAAACAAAACACAACAGAATATTTTGCTACAGAACACACTTCAAACATTATCAAAATACTAAATTAACATTTTTTTTTTAATTAAAAGGCTTTTATAATAATATATCGGTGGTTTGACAATGTATTAACTGAAAATATAGACAATAAACTAAGGTCTATAGCTCAATGGAACAATAATTATTTAAAACTAATATTTAATCAAAATTACAATCCAAAGAGTTATCACTATCAGAAACATGACTAATTTGGTCATCAACTTCTGGTGGTAGAAGGATGGATAAACGCTAGAAAAATTATTTCTCTATAATTTTTGAGTTTTTCTAATACCAGTAATAACAGGATCCAAAGAGAGAAGAAGCCCCTTAAAACATCTTCATTAGTTTTCTCTCGAGCTATTTTTCTAGCGAAGCTTTCTCGATATTTTTTAAAATCTTTGTTTCTACTTTCTGCAGCCTCTTCTGGGTGCTGGCCGACTGGAAGAAGTACGGAACGAATAATTCGATTTAAAATTAAGTGAACTGTTGGCGTCATATAATACCAAGAATATTTATCTATCTATGAGTAATTGTGCTGTTTTCAGGCAATACATGTTAAATAATGATAACTGGTAATTACTTCTACACAAATGGAACTAAATTTTATATCATTAGGGTAACATGCTTAGCTTGTTGCACAACTGTACTTATGGAAAATTTAGCTTTTTCCTTTTCTCTAATTATATTGATTACGAGATAAGTTCGCTTCCACTAAAACTAAAAGTGCCTCCTCTGGTGACAATTTTGTTTTAGTATCTGTAGTCATACCTTTATTTAAAGCACTTATATATTCGGTAGCTCTCGCAGGATTCTTATAAATTCTTGTATAAGTTTGGAGGCTTGCACTTTACCAGATTTTCTGAGCTCCATTTGAGCCGCATAACAGATAACCTCGACCGAATTCTCCTTGCGCATATCAGCAGTTTTCGCAACTAAATGAAAAATCACCCAATTTTTTATTGATCTAAAGCGCGTGTTTAGTTGGTAAATACCACTTTGGTATCTAGCCAGGTTTTTATTTGTTTTAGCAAAAACTGACGTAACTCTGCAAGCTTTTGGCCATTTTATTTTAAAATTTAAAATAAATTTTGAAATTTGGTTTGAAATAATTTGAAACTTGTCAATTGGGCAATTTGTTAAATTTCTTATGTATTCTTTATGATATGTACATTGTCGGTTTTGTTTTTTTGAAGGACATTTTTTAATCTTTTCCCACAGATCTCTTCGACTAATTTCTAAGTTCAAATAATCTAAAACAACACAAACATAGAGAGCAAATTTATTTATATTAGAAAAAAATCATTTCATTGCAGAAATAGTTTTTTATAAGTGTGCGGAAAGTAAACTCTTATCAAGAAAGGCTGAAAAAAACCAAAATAACCGTACCGATAAATTCCGATTTAATTAGGGTTTTCATAAGATGCATATTATAGACAAATAAATGTAATAATTAGCATCACGCAGGAGGTAACAAAACAGGAATTAAAAAAAAATTATAAAAAAGTTACCCGACTGCCATTTCTAGTAATAGTGTTACAAAAATATCACCCTCTTGCGCATGCCTAAATTACCGCATTATAAGCAAAAAATAGCAGCTAATCGCAATACCACTATAAATAAGAACGTTCACGAAAAGAAAATGTGCCAAAATATACACTGAATACGGAAGAATTTGCTACTTTTTAACTAAAAGAAATCCTAGGTCTAAATAAATTTTTTAATTTTTGCAGAACTCATAAAAATGCCTCCATGGAATAACGGTAAAATACTGCTATACTTTTTTTTTATACAATAATAATCTACTTATCACGTCGATTATTTTGCATCATTATTATCAAAGTTAATTCGATTATTATAGTACAAAGAGTAGACCGAATTTATCAATATTATTTGCACTTAAAAATTACAGCAATATACGCATTTAAAACGCTTTTTTTGACAAGCTTTATCTTTTGTTTTATCACGCGGACAATCCAAGGCTATTGTGACTTCGAAAGAAGGATTTATTGCAGTAGGTTTACCGTGGTTATTTTTGTCAGTTACCTAAATTTTCATTCTAGAGTTTTTGGTGAATTTTGTCTAACCTTTCCCCTCTGTGCGTCGTTCCAGTTACTTACAAAATTATCGATTTATTGTCCATGGGTACGATACAAGTGTTACCACGTTGTCAGATGTACAATAATTATCGTTTTATACGATAATTTTGATTTACTATTGCAATTTACCTACTTACGATAATTTCACATGTATTTCAATAAATTGATTCAGACTCCGCAAGACATCGATAATTCGGACGAATTTCATTTTAAAATAGGTGAAATGCAGGAAAGGAACGGAACTATTGTATTCCGATGTAATTTGGATCCGAATGACCTGGCAACACTACGCACGTAATAATTATTATTAGATTTCGTGACGATAATTTATTTTTTAATTGGACACCATTTATATTATTATATTTTTTAATTACCTTTTTTCTTCTGGTTTCAAAAATGTTGTCCGCATCTTATACCGTTTTCGAGTAAGTAATTAAACGTCGAATATCTCAGTTTGGGTAAATAATTGCATTTTAATAACTTGAATAATATTAACTTTTTCCATATTTATAGACCTAAGGCTAAAGCTAAGATATTCGAAAACGGAATAAGATACGGGTGACATGGTACAGGAAAAAATATCATTCCAAAAATGTTTTATAATTCAGTGTATTCCATTTAAAAAACCATAATTTTTTGTTGTATCCCATAAAATCTTCTGATGACATTTTCAGTCATAGCCACAACTTTTATATAAAACATCTTTTGTATAATATGTGATAATAACAATGATACAGGGTAGGCAATTTATAACGAATAACCCTGTACTGTTTTTAATTGACAGTTTTATTATTAAAATAAATACGTGATAACTAAAAAAATTTAAGTCTTAAATTATTTAAATTTTAAACAACGAACAATTAGGAATTTTAAATTTGGGATATTACTTTAAGAATGAAATAAATGAAATTAAACAATAATGTTAGTTTAAGTAAAATGTTTTTGTTTATTAGGTAGCGTCATTAAGAAATATCAATAATTATTTTTTATAAAAGATATTTTGTGGTGTAAGCATTGCACCTTAAATATATGCAATAAAAACTATTAAATTAAATAACAAGATGCGTCGGGATTATATGATGGATGGTTGAGTAATTCCACATTTGAAAATCTTTTGTTTTAGCTTTTTAAATTTCTAATGAGCCGTTTTTTTTACAGATGTTTAAATATTTACCTTGGTTTCAATACACTGTAACTGAACCGCTTATAGAAAATGGTTTCACCTTTGAAAGTGACAGATTCATTTGTAGAGTCGATGCTCCTATATTAATACTGCACGCAGAAGACGATCACGTAGTTCCCATAAAATTGGGTAAAAAGGTTAGTTTAAAATATAATAGTGGAATTGGTAGGAATGATTGTAAAAAACGTGTCAAACCACAAAATGAAATTAAACACAGTTCAAAGGTTCGAATAAATTTCTAAAACTACTATAACTTTGTTAAAATGCATAACTTGATTTTTCGGCTAATGATGTAACCAGAGATTAGGGACATAAAGATAGGAAAAGCAACGACCGCAGCAACAATGGCGTCATTTATGCGTCTCAGATGTTAACTAAACAGTTTATAAATATAAATGTCAATTAGTCGTGGCTGTTTTTGTGTGAAATTGAGGACAATAAATATATTTTGTAATATTACAATAAGTCGGAGAACGTATTGCATTAGTAACACATGCCACATGAACCCCAATGTGGCGTTTTTTAATGAATCAAATCAAATTAAGTAACACAAATAGTAGCCAACTTTTGTCACAAAGTAGGTATTTATTTATTGTTTTATAATAAGAAAATAGCTTCAAAACGTTAGATAGAAGATTTGATATAGGAAGAAAAATATCTGAATTCCATTATTAAGTTTGCACTCAACATTTTTAAATAAGATACCATTAGCCATTCATTTGGAAAATAAGAACAAAAATGTCAATGTTACAAATAACGATCAAAAATTAAAAAAATCTAAGTCATGAATAGATTTACGATAATTAATCGATAATAGAGTAGTAAATGTAGTATTCTTTTTAATAAATAATTTAGCGTAATAACATTGTTTAAATTTATTTACCAAAACGTGAGAGTGCAGTCGATATTTAAACAACCTATCAGGTTTTTAAATTTCCCGCTGCATTATTTGTTTGATATCGATGAAAGCGCCACATAGTGGGTCAGATGTTAACTGCGTTAAATCTAGTCGTTGTTATGCATTGGCTTCTTATGAGCGTTTCCTATCTTTTATCTCCCTTATCTCTGGATGTAACCTTATTACTTATTATGGAGTAAAAGTATCATTATTTAAAAAAGTGGCTTGTCACATTTTTACAACTATTAGGCATTCCACACAAAATGGCTACTAGTGGGTTTTGTCAGGTTATGATATGGCAAAATTATGGCAACCCCGTTAGGCCTGGTTTGTAAACACATTTTTGCAAAATCGATTCTGATTAATGAGCACTTGCGAGGCAAATTGGCCGCTCGTAAACGACCCGCTTTGAGCAATTTATGTAGCTACATATGTATCATTGACCCTATCAATGACAACAGGTTCACAGGGTTGCCATATCTAAATGTCAGTTCCCACTTGTCAGCAGTTTGACAGGTCGTTGGAATGCCTAATACTCTTCAATTGATTTAAAAGATATGTAAATATTGATATTTAGTTTAAATTATAGTTGTATTTGGCATGTTCAGTAGACATATTTAGTGTACTATAAGGGTCGATCAATAAGTACCCGTGTTAGGAATGAATACGCAAGTTTTTCACATTTTGTTTTTATTTTTCATTGTAATCTTCTTTTTGGTTGATATACTCTTCCCAACGTTTCTACCACTTCCTTAACCCTTCAAAAGTACGATTTTGTCTCTGCGATAACCTCCTCACTTGAGCTGAATTTGTTTCCCCCGAGCTATGTTTTTATGATGAGGAACAGAAAGAAGTCGTTGTGAACGTGTCTCCTTCAATTTCTTATCGAATCGGTCCAATAATTCACTGTAGTACTGTCCCGTGATCGTTTTTCCCCTTAAAGCCCAAAACTTTTTCGGCCGATGGAACAATATTTGCCTTCTTCGGAGCAGATTCACCCGGAAAAATCCATTGCTTTGACTATCGCTTGATGTCTGGCGTATAATAATGTATCCAGGTTTCATCAACGGTGACGACTCCACGCAAAAAAATGCTGCGAATTTTGTTTAGAGGTCCAAACTCAGCTTCGACATTGACAGGCGTATCCGCTTGTTGTCCACCATGAGCAATTGCGGCACTCATCGGGCCGAAGCCTTTGTCATATGTAACTTATCTTGTAAAATATTGATTTCCATTCAGTACGCGTACGGTGTTTGCTTCATCATTCACTTTAGTTCCTCAATCAGCAAGAATTATGTCATGGACCTTTTCATCAGAAACAGATGTACGACTACGTTTAATTTCGTTCAATCAATGTCTCACGGTTGTCATAGATAGTGAAAGATCTTCATAGGCATCGGATCGATATTGCTCTTTTTCCATTTTATCGAGAAACACGAAACGCGTGTGATATAACTGTCTGCCAAATAAAAACTAACCTATGAAGGTACCATTTCGGTAGGCGCGACAGACGACCGCCGACGCGACCGAGAAGTGTCGCTTCACATCTAAAATACATACAATTATATAAAACACATTTCGCACGGCGCGACACGACCGAGAACTGTCGTGGAGACACTTCTCGGTGCAAAGCTTCGCTGCGTATCGCACTCGAGGTCACTGTTCTTGGCATCGCTTTTTTTTGGGGGTGATTCGGTCGGAAATTTCTTTCGATCTAGGCAGCGTTGCCAGATTTTAAAACAGTATGGGTAAAAAAAACCGTAGATCTGAACAGTAGATTTTAATAAAGGGGAAAATAATTATAATTTGCAGTGTAGTAAATAAAAAAAACAAGTATATAAGAAACGAAAAATAAACTTTTTTCTACCCAAATTAGAAAGTAAACAAAGAATAAAAACATTTTTAATATATACTTAACGTACGGGAAAAAAACCAATGAAAAATAATAAGTACCTACTTCTTTTAGATCAGTCTGAATTAGATAATTCAAAATCGTAGTGTTTGGCATATGCATGTTCTTTTTATGATGCCCTATTAATTCTTTGTTTCATTTTAAATAAAAACAATGATTATCTTGATGTTTTTTTTTTTATGGAGCCAACCTACACTAGTGGATACTTATTACGCTGCTTTTACTGCAGAAAATTTACTAGAGAAAATATTCTTTACCCATTTGCTGAAGAATGAGGCAAACTTAATAAATTAAGAACATAATTTGTTAGAGACAAAAACAGTAGATCTACGTGAAAATAGTAGGTCTGGCAACGCTGATTGTTCCCTCGAATGGTTATTCCTGTAAATGTCGCGCGACACTTCAAGCTTGCCAAATGTACGAAGCGTAAAATTTATACACCTGTTGTCCTACTCGACCTTGGGGTCGGTTCAGTGGTTGCTTGTCGTCTGTCGCGCCTACCGAAATGGTACCTTGAATCAGTCTAAAATTGTGTATGGTGTCGTTTGACGGATAACAGTACACGACGGTAATGTCAACTTCCCTCGGCAACACCACCTGTTTTCAAAAACGGGTACTTATTGATCGAACCTCGTAGAATCGAATTTTCTAATTCAATGATCTTTGAAAGGACACTTCAATTATTGTTTTTTTTTTTTTTCTTGTTTTTTTGTTTTGTTTATAAGAGTTCATAAATTGACTGTAAGTTAATGTGATCTTATACTATGGAAATGAACTAGTTTTATTCGATTTGTTGATTTTTCATTTGCGACTTACATTGTTATTAATTTTTGTTATAGTTGTATCATGAAGGAGAACATTGCAGAAGAAAAACGCAGGGTAAATTAATTTTCCATCAATTTGAAGGCAAACATAAATATGAACACAAATATATCTGTAGATCGCCAGAAATTAATGATATAATAAGGTAATAATAATATAATCTGATATTTTTCTATAAATATATTTGATTTCACTGGTATTAGTGATGGGACTACTCATGAAAAGTAATTTTTGGACTAGCCAGACGGACATGTCTAAATTTTCAATATTTGAAATAAAAAAGTGGAAGGAAGTTTAATCAAAGTTTGTTCATTAATGTTATCTATTTTCTCGGAGCCGATCCCGAATGTATTCTGAACGCGAAGGTAAAGCCTACACGCCTACATAAACATTTAAACAATACAAATCCAGATATAATATGCAGTGTAATTTTCACGTTCACAATATGGTCGGGATCATAGCTAATGTAACCAAAGAAATAAAACTAATCTTTAATGGAAAAAATAAGTATTTTTAAAAAATTAACAACGATGGCTTCCATTCATTGCCACTGCCTTTTGGTAAAATATTAAAATATCGTTTAGGTCTTTGTTTATCTAAATATATTAATTGATCAAAATAATTGAATAATTAAAATGTTTTTTTTTTAGGGATTTTATTAAGGAAACCAAACAAAGGTGAACTGATAACGAAAGGAGCTTTGTTATTCTTTCGCCGGTCATCGTAATTATGCTCAGTGACAGCAGCTGTGATTTTTATAATTACTGTTAGTTAAATAATAGAATGAATCCAAATGTGTCATTAGATTGTAATAAAAACTATTTTGATTAGTCTGAAAACATTCTCATTTATAGGTTAAGTAAAACTAACATATCTCCAAAAGTTATAGAGATATATAATTAATTATCTTAGACCCATTTTACAAAACAAATGTAGAAAATTGTAAATTATATTGTTCTTTGTTAATTTTCTACCATCAGTTATTTTTAAACCATTGTTGTATTAGGCAGTCTTTTGGCCCTCAGATTTTATACGAAAACAACTTTTTCTCGTCTAAGTCTGTACCCTAACTACACCTAAAACACAGATATATACATTATGTAACATACATATTTATACAACTTCCATGTAACATAGTTTAAATAATCATTATTGTACCCATAATGGTCATTAATTTAATTACTTTGCATATCAGTTAAGGAATAAATACAACAGTCTCTAATACACGCTAAACCAAAAATTCCAGTGCTAACTAGAGCCGCGGAGTTGTCGTTGTTAGAGCCGGGCCAAGATGAGTTTGGTACACAACATGGCGACAACAAAAGTTGCGCACTGGCTATTGCCTAGCAACGACGCTCGGTGAAGCCAAACTTAGTCATTCAGTGGCGTAACTTGGGTCGAGTATATACAAAGTGAATAGAGTGCGAAAAGGGACAATTTTATATAATTATAGTGCCTTGTGATTTATATTTACATATAAGTATTGTGTTTTTGTTGTTGTAATGGCTCCAAAGAGAATCGGATTAAAAGGGAGGTCCCTTAATAGTCAAGAGAAATTATATATAATATTACTAAATTTATGGAAAAAGAAGCAAATGAAGGATTTCAAATTCCTCTAAAAAATTATCGGTGAGTATGATAATATAGCATTTATTTTATAACAGTTGTATACATAACAAGTAGTAAGAAGCGTTGGCGGCTAATGCAATAATTCCACGAGCATATAATTATCTACAATCAGAATTATACATTCATAATAACGAGAAGGTTTTCATAATTTATAACATTTAATAAAAAAATTGTAAATTGCAAATGCAAATACTGAATTAACTGAAGAACAATTGTTTTAGAAACAAACATTTGTTAATAGTATTGCGAATCAACAGTTTCTTTTAAAATTAATATTTAAAATATTTACCTATTTCATCAAAAAAAATTTTGCTTTTAAAACCATCTGATTACCGTTTAACATATAACAGATTGCCCATAATTATGAAGGTTTGAATAATTGTTCCATAAGTTCCCCAAAATAAATATGCCGATTTTTCTATTTCTAAAACGTCGAAACTATCGTAACCATAGCGATCACCTAGATTGAAAAATAAGCTTTTACCAATGATACTAAAATTTTAAATATTTAAGTTGAATCCATTGCGTAGACAAGAGCTTGGCAATCAATGATTACATTAATAAATATTTATTATGTATTTAATATATGTAATTTAATAATAATATTGGTAAATTAGTACTTAAATAAGTCCTCTATTTCTTATTAGGTATTATTGTATACCTGTTAATACGCAATTCCCAGATTTTGAAAATAGGAAGTCAAATATTCAAATTGATCTATTATGTAGACAATACATAATTAATATCAAATCAAGGGTAATCATGGCCAAAACGGGCGTACAAAATAGGGACTGACACAGGTAGCTTCGCCTCTATATATACAGTCTTTCCCGAAATTAGACGGTCATATTTTAACAGCGTAATCTACATCATAAAATAGGAATAAAAGTTCATATAAACATATGTCCGAAAACGTTTCTTTTCCGAGATAGAGGGTGTTAAAAGTGAAGTCCTGATGACACACTTTTGTAAATATTTTCTAAACGTTTAAAGATAACTAAGTGAAATTTGGTAAAAATGCTTAACTTTTTACGCTCTATTTAATGGACTAAACCCCAGTTTTCGATCATCTTCATAGGTGGGTAAATTAAAATATGCCATCAGGACTTCACTTGTAACACCCTGTATCTCGAAAACGAAACGTTTTCGGACCTATGTTTATATGATCTTTTACTCCTATTCTAGGATGTAGATTACGCTGTTAAAATATGACCGTCTAATTTCGGGACACCCTGTATATATATTAACTGTAATTAATAAACTTATTTTCGGTTTAATTAATCTTAATAAATAAAAAAAAGTAGGGTTAATTACACCATTTATAACTGAAGAACGGCTAGAACGAGTTAAATGCGATCTTTTATTTATAGAATTCGTTTCCATCCTGAATAGCAAAATAACTAGTAAAATATCAAAAAAATCATGGAAAAAAATTATATACAATGGCTGGTTTTAAATGACTTCATTTGGAACAGACATTACCGAAGAATACGGATTTAATCCGATATTCTAGGTAATTTATGTTATACAAAATTTGTTCTAATGTAGGTTAAATTAGAGGTAGAAAAGTGTTGTTAGGTCTCTGTATTTGTCTGTAAAATAAATAAGCCATGCTAACAATTTTAAATGACTGTTAGGCAATACGAAGTTCGATGGGTGAGCTATTTTTTTAATAATTATAAAAGCATATGCTTCAAAAGATAAAAAAAAAAAACTTTACTTATTCGCTTACTCTGTTTAGGGAACGAATTTTGGCAGCAACTGGTATTAGTAAAAATACTTTGCAAAGAATTAAAAAGGAAGGCAGAGCAGTAGATGCCAATGTAGCCGGCACATCTTTTTCAACTCCGCGTAAGCGCAGGCCAAAAGGAAAAAAAATCGAATTAAATCCTGCGAACATCCAAGAAGTAAAAACTATTATTATTGAAAAGCGATCACCTACTCTTAAGGGTGAGTATTTTAAGCTTGTCTCCATAAACATCTCATTTATAATTACACACTATTTTTAACTAATTCTAGGTATTTTGCAAAAGATGCATGATCGTCAACTTGATTTCAGTGGAGGCAAAGAAACTTTAAGAAAACTGATACACTCTATTGGTTTTAGGTAAGTAGAATATACTGATCTATTTAACAGAATATTAATGATTTGTTACTTGTAGGTGGAGAAAGACAGAAGACAATAGGAGCGTATTGATTGAAAAATTGTACCGGAATTGTACAAAATTATTAAAGATAATAAATACAGATTTCCGGTAGTTTATAAATAGACAGATTATTGGAGGCACACGGTCACAAAGTCCTTCGGCTTCCACCCTATCACCCTGATTTCAACCCAATTGAAAAAATACGGGCTTCTGTAAAAAATTGGTTAGCAGCTAGAAATAACACATTCACTTTAATTAATGTAGAATCGTTAACACGAGAAAGGTTTGCAACATTGCAAGTAGAAGAGTGGGTCAACATTTGTCGACATGTCAAGGAATATGAAGCTACACAAATTAAAAAAGAACATTTGTTGGACTCCACAATGGACCATTTAAGGTTTACAGTAAATACTGGATCATCGGATGAAATTTGGTCAGAGGATGAAGACAGTGATGTAAGTTTAGGAGCACAACAGGTCTCTGATTTAGAATCGGACGAAAATTAGATTTGTGTCTCTATTTATATGTATTTTTGTAATATATAAGTATTTTAATATTGTCTTATTTTATTATCACATATACACACACATATATAAAAAAAAATTATTTAGAATAAAATTCACATCATAGTACCTAGTTAGTAATTAATCATAATACATAATTTAAAATAAAAAAGGTAATACAAATTACTAAACGTCTGCCTCTGACGTCACACCTTCGCGCAGGGTCGAGCACGTGGCTGTACCAATTGTACCAATCTCATCTTGGCCGGCCTCTACTATGTTCCAACCATCTGTCGAGATCACCTGATTTTGAGATTGCAAGGGGTCAAATATCTACCTACACTTCCGGTTGTTGACCCAAGTAATAAATAATAACTATCTCGTTAAAGAGTCCCAGCTTTTATTAGACAGGCTGTAACTTTTATAATAATTATCACAATTAAATGAAATTCAGACCGGAGCTACAATGACTTGTGGGCTATCTGATGACCGTATTTTCCAATAAGTGACCATAAATTTTGTTATTTCAGATAGGATACACTGTATATTTCAACAATTCTGAATTATTTAATCAATTCTACACATTTTTCATGTAATATGTCGTATACCTATTGTTTAGAATTGATTGATATTCAAATTTCGTTGAATTAAAAAGACGTTTATTCTTTTATATCAGATTGACAACTCATATCTCAAACCAGTACAAAAGTCATATTCCAAAACAAAAACAATATAACAATCTAAAATTAATATCTTGATTAAGATTATAGTCGTATTCCTTGAGGGTGCAACGGCATTTACAAATTAAATGTCTTAGAGGTGACCAATAACGGTGAAGCTTGTATAACGGAACTGAACATGCCGCCGGCCTTGAAACCATAAGTTTCAATATAAAATTATTTACTCGCTTGTTGAAATGTTTTCTAGGGGTAATAAGCACATTTTTTGAACCGCACGCTTCACTAAACCTGTTGAAGTTCGTACTGTAGCCACTCTCGTTAAACCGTCTGGTCCTGGATGAAGTTCTGTTATGCGGCCTAATCGCCAGGACTGGGATGGAGTATTTTCTTCTACAAGCACTACCAAATCGTCGATATTAAGAGTTGGTACGGATCTGTCTTTCCTCTTGGTGCGTTGCTGCATGTTGGATAAATATTCTCGGGTCCAGCGTTGCCAAAAGTGTTGTGAAATTTGTTGCAAATGTTCATAATGTTTGAGTCTATTGGTTGGGATAGTGGTATAGTCTGCCTGAGGGATTGAAGAAAGTGGTTCTCCAATAAGAAAATGTCCCGGTGTTAGGGCGGCTAGGTCTTGAGGATCATTTGATATAGGAGTAATGGGACGAGAATTCATTATCGCTTCTATCTGTGCAAATACAGTAGCCAAGTCCTCGAAAGTAAGATGACAATTACCTACTACCCGTGTAACGTGATATTTGGCACTTTTAACGGCCGCCTCCCACAAACCGCCATGATGAGGTGAGTGGGCAGGAATGAATTTCCATTCAATATTATTTATTAAGAAAAAATCCGAAATTTTTCGTTCCTTGATAAATGTATTGATTGATTGTA